GTCGCATACATACATACATAGAATATGTAATTGTAAACAAATCAAATAGTATTAAGGGCCGTGTTCACCATCTCCGGTTAAGCACTTAATCATAACTTAATCGGAAGGTAACCTAAAATACGTTTTCATAATGTCCGTTTAAAGCGCAACTGTCAATTAAGATAATTTGCCAGCTGGAAATTGTAAAATAATAAATAAAATAGTTGTTGAAATCTACTTTAAAATTTATAACTTGTTCTTTTTAATTTCTCAGTTTTTATGTTACTGAATTATTTAATTTCAAATATTTTCATTTTCTGAATTATTATAATTTTTATTTTTATTCATAAAGTTTTTTAAAATAAATTTTATTCAAAAATAAATAATTAAAGTTTTAATGAAAACAAATATATAAAACTATAATTAATAGATACACTCATTTATAAAAGTATTCCGGTGTTGAGTTTAATAAATAAAAATTTTATTATGAAAAATATGGAACGTACTGACTATCTGGCTGCACTGGTTCAGAGGCGTATTTCTAGGGAAAGAACGTGCCTTACACATATAAATTTTTTTTTGAGAAATATGGTGAAGAAGTTTTGATTCGTAGATTTCGAGTTCGTCTTTTCAAAATTAGTGCAAAATGCGTTTTGGAAAAAATAGAAAGTAAAATGAGAAGCCGCAGTGAAAGGTTTGTGAAAATAATGTGCTTTGAGTAAATAAATGTTGTTGATAATTTTTTTTTAATTTCGCAGAAATAAAGCGGCAGAAATTTTGCTTTTATGCATCGGTAAGTATTTTAATTTGTGATCCGGTGGCGACTGCCAGTCGGGTGGAAAACATTAGTCATTTCTACCGCGGCACTTGTCCGATCATTCCTCGGAATACCGAAAAAAGTAGGGAAATTGATTGACAATGTGCACATTTCACCGAATAGTGAAGTTTCCAAAGGTGTTGGGGTGTTTACATTACACTCATTGTCAGAATCCAATCAACTGAAGAAGAAAATGCCGAAAGTTATTGTAAAATTGAAGAAATGGACTTTGTGTGCAGCTGACCTGGTTTTGGACATGATGGCATTATTTTTAATAATAGCTGTTCGAACCACCGGTTTGAGCAAAACGTATTTAGGGATTTATTTCAATTGGTTGGTAGTGGTTATGGTTTGTCAGCAACTGCATGATGTGTCAACTTTTACATCCCAATCTTTGCGCTTAACGTCAAGGAGCTATGGATTGAAAGTCTCGCTCAGCACAGCTATGAACATAATTGTTGCCTGTAGAGTATTGCACAGTTTTGCTATCTAGAAAGACTCTAATTTGGATGAGCTAGAAGTTTAAGCGAATAAACCAGCATAAACATCTGTTAATGCCGACGAAAACATAGCTGAGGTGTAGAGAAATCATCAACATATTTTACATACATTTTATATATGTAACTTCAAACCATCAAAGTTCTTTTTCACAAATAAAAATAAATTAAATAAATTTCATTAAATTACAATTTTTTCCCATAACCACAAAATAAAATAAAAGAAATAAATAGAAAACGGAAAATCTTCAGAATTACTCAACCATATCGTGTGGAAAAATGTAAGCAAATACCAGCTGTCATGCAGTTTAGTTGTATTCACATCGCAATTTCTAGTGATTTTACCTTAAAATATTCACAATGATCAAACTTACCAGAAGTTAAGTGACCAGAACTTTCTGAAGACGAAATTGGCACATCGGTCTAACTGACGGTTAGCTTTCCTCCGGTTAAAGGTTAAGTTAATCGGACATTGTGAAAACGGACATAAGAGAGCTAATACAGCATATTTCAAAATTTTGAAAATAACTCATTTGTATTTTATTGTGGTAAATTCTCAATTAATATTACTCACATCAAAATTAACCGCCCTAGTAAATTTGTGAGCATAAAGAAGTAAGCTCCAAATCTGATAATTATATACAATACACATGCATGTACATATGTAATTATGTATGCACATATGTACATATGTATGGCTGAGTAGTGCCAAGTTAATTCGATACAAGACGTTTCGTTCCAGTTTTTAATTAATGCAAGATGCGTACCGCCGAGTAATTTGTTAAACAAAAAAATTTAGAGTCTTAGTGTGTGTATTTTAATGTTGTATAAACAATATTTATTATGCATTAATTGACAAGTTGAAGGTCATTAATCACTCTGCTTGAATTACGTTATTCGAAGCGATATGATAACGCTCACTTGGCACTTGAGGGGAATTTGTAATTATTTTATTGACTGAGAACGAATGAGTAATAAAATAATTAACAAATTATCAGCATGTGTGTTATATTTATATTTATTTAAATGAGTTTATATGTAAATATTCGCAGAAAAACCAAGCTGCTGGAATTTTGGGAATTCTTATCACTCAACACTGTTATTTATACCAAAAACTCACTCTCACACCAATATTATTTCGAAAACATAAATCTACATAAGAACAAATATTGGAAAAATAATTTGTAATTTAGTTTCAAATAGCGAGAGGGAGAAAATTGTAATTAAATTAAATAAATAATTGCTCCGTCTAGGCTGCGTCTAGGCTGCGTCTGGCTCTTAAGGGGCACACCTAGTGTAATGGCCTAAAAAAATTTGATTTTTGGCAATTTTTATTAAAAAAAAAATACTTTATCAATTATTTCAAAATATTAAGAATATATTTATATTTGTTTTAAGAATATACAGTGAAATTTTTGAAGAAAAGAATCTAATATTTTATAAGTCATAGTCGATCTCCAACGGCGCGAAAAAAAGGTTCTTCACTGCTGCAGTGATTCCGGCCTTCTCCGTGGGTGAAATCTAAAAAAAAATTCTCTACTAGATAATATTATCTGTACAATGACCTAAAATCAAATTGACAATATGGCAGCGTTTTAAAAAAATAGTAGTCGAATTTTACCCAAAATCTTGGTCGTTTTTGGCCTGCCAAGATTTAATTTTTTGATCAGAACAAAATCGATAGCTCATTGTACGGAGAACTATATATAGAACATGTAAAAAAAATCGATAGTGATCGGATTATTTGTTTTTGAGCAATCAATGCAGCAAATTCGGAAAATGCTGTTTCGAGAAAAACGCGTTTAAAGATAAAATGATCGTTTTCACTCGTAGCTAATGAGACTCTCTAGCTGCCGAGCGGCTGCTCTCTGCTCTGCTATAACTCAAAAACTATTTGAGATATCGATTTGAAATTTAATTTAATTAATATGTTATTTTTAAAGGTGTAATCAACCGAAATATGAAAAAAGATCGACATTTTTTTTTAATATCACACTAGGTGTGCCCCTTAAAAACGATTAATTTCATGATAATCATCAAATTTTAATCGATTCGGTTGAAACAATTGAAAATGTTATCGTTAAAGCAGTTATCAAAGGAATTTTTTTTTTTCGTTTCTACACGAACCGAAAAGCTGTCTCGAATGAGTAAGCGTTAACAGATAATGCTAAACCTTGAAATTGAAGTATGCTCTTAATAATGGGTGTAGTAAAAAGAAATCCATTATTTTTGCACGAAATTTGAAGGCTTCAATTACCACAGTTGGAAAGATCTGATTCAAGTCAAATATGCGCAGTTTATTTTGATAACTTTTCGCCATTTTAAAGGTAATTTCAGTATGCCTTTCTCATAGAAGCTCCCGTTCCTATCCCAAGCGTCTCTTGAAATGAATTTTTCACCACAAAAATTGTTCGCCATGGACAGGAACGTGTGATAAATACTTGATGCCACATCCGGACAATAAGTTAGATGCATAAGAACCCCCTTAATTCAGCTGCCGGAGCTTCTGACAAATCACTATCGATATGTGTGGCCAGACGTTGTACGGATGGTACACAATTCCTCTCCTATTGTCCAAAGCTCACCACTTCTGGGCAATTGCCTCCCTCAGACGGTCCAATTGTTGACAGTACAGTTGCGAGTTAAGAGTTTTGCCGTATGGGAGTTGCACAGTGTAGATAACTCGCTGTCAATGCCACCAATCACACACCAAAACCTTCCTGGTCGACAATCCTGGCTTGGCCACAGCTTCCGACGGGTCCCCGCGTCTCGACCACAACTGTTTTTGCTTGATGTTGCCATAAGTGATCCACATTTTTCGCCAGTCACCAGCCGCTTCGGAAATGCGGCGACTTAGTTGCGATTCAGCAGTGATACGCATATGGAAATTAGGTCCGTGAGGGGTTTTTTTACGCTAACTCATGTGGTTCCCATACAAAGAGCTTCATTGTGTATCCAGCTTTAAATGTATCCACTTCTAAACTTTATATTGTGCAATGTTTGGCTCCTCGGCAATCGGAACAGTGCTCGCATGACGGTCTGACCCGAGGATTTGTTTTATTTTATTGACATTTTCGGCAATTGGCCTTCTAAACTGTGGACCATACTTCACATCGAAATTAGCGGAACGAAATCGATGAAACCAAATTGATTCTGGCTCCGGCGAAGCCGATCAGCGATAGACTATTTGGAGGAGTTTAATGGTGGAGGCATTATGTTTCAGCTGTAAGGACAAGTACACCTTCCCGTTTCGCTGGAGGCAAAAATTGATGAGGTTGTGATGGACGGAATACAGGCACATGCCAAGCACAATATTTATGTCATGAAGAGGAAGAAGAAGATCTCACTTCCTTTCAAATAATCAGATGGAGAACGATCTGGTAGTACTTGGTATGATTCAAACAGCGTAAAGAAGGAAGGAATAAAAAATTTAGGGCAAATCGGCAATGCGCTGAGCTTATTACTATTTAAAATTAGTCCACTGGAACACTGGAAGCCGTCCAATTCGAGATAACTGACAAGTTAGTAAAGATAATACTGTAGATACGTGATTGATGAGATCTTGCAGACACAACGACATCTTAAATCAACTTTAATTAATGGGTATGCTGGAAATCTACGGTTGCCTCTTATTGTTTATCGCTAACCAGTTTCTCTCTCTATCACAATTAAATGGAATTAAATTAGTTCCGTATTTTGTTACTCACTTGTTCTCAATACTTTCCAAACGTTTACGTAAATCCTCATCGAGTGATGCTAAGACGCTCACGCGATCGTGAAGATTCGTTAATAGATCTTTGCATGTATTGGCCATTTCATCAGATTTCGGCGCAGCTGATGATTTACGAAAATGCTGTAAAGAAGAAGAAATTGTATTAGAACGGAAAACATTAATTTTATTGACTTATCTTATATATATTTATATGTACGAGATGTGTTAAAAGAGTACGAATATTTTTAGACATTGCAAATTTGAAGTGTTCAATGGACAAACTTTTTTCATTCAATATTTTGTTATAAATGACCCTTGGCGGCAGTGCGTAATATCATGCGTAAGGTAATGGATTCGTACTCTGTTCAGATTAACATCCAAAAATTTATTTTCCTAGTTTTTGACTCCTCTTGGTAGGGAATGTCAACCGCTCTGACCGTATTTTTGATATGAAATAAAACGTTACTCATAAAAATTCATCTATCGCTCGAGGGAACACAACAAATATGGAGAAAAGGACCCAAGTTCGCAGGAAAAGCTTAAAGGGCTTCCTAATAAGAGGAGATATTTTGAATAGCTTTCTATTCCGGTAGATGTCACTGATACACGCTTCAACAATGGTTCGTAAAACTTAAACATTTTTCAGTCCTCGTGAAGAACCTTGACTTCTAAATGGAGATCTTGGGACAATTTAGTGATGTGAAGAATAAATCACGTTCATGTCGCTCAAGAGCCACTGAGAATATTGCTGCTGTAGTCAAAATAAAGTTGAAGAAAACACAGGTTTATCTATTTCTCATCGCTCTTTGGAATTGGATATTCCACAAACGTCATTACACCGTATTTCGCTTTTTTAAGGCTAATAAAGTTCAGTTGACACAAGAACTCCAGCCGGCCGATCATTAACAACGTCGTGACTTTGCTGAGGGTCCATGAAATGCATAAAAATTATCCGGAATTTCAACCAAAAATCATATTGACTGATAAGGCCCATTTCACTCGCCCATCAACATTCGATGGCTACATTAATAAGCATGACTGTCGCACCTGGGACACGGAAAACCTATGATTTTTTGTTAAAGAGCCTCTCCTTCTTCCACGTGGAACCTTTTCGTGCGGTTTAAGGTCCCGGTGTTAGCGGTGGACCTTACCTTTTAGAAAATGAATTGATGGCGCTATCGAGAGTTGATTAATGATTTCTCATTTGATGTCGACAATGTTTATTTTCAATGCTGCATGCTGCAACGAATTCCATCGATTTTTTTACAGAAAAGTCTGCGGACAGTTTTATCTCTTCAAGAGGGGATCGCAACCACCGTGGCTGCGATGATCTTGTGATTTAACACCTTGCGACTTCTTCCCTTGGGGGCATGTGAATTATAAAGCCTATACCAACAGGTCAACGTCATTTCAAGACCTCAAAGATGAGATTCGTTGAGGGAGTGCAGCCACTTTACGGTTTGCTGATGGAAAATTCCAAAAAATAGGATACAATCCTGTAAGCGTAACCGTGGCTGCAATTTGATTAATCTTGTTTTTTTTTTTTATTGAAATAACCATGCGATCATTTATCTCAAAAAAACCAGTTTACTTTGAATAACAAAATAACACCTCTTTTTGGAAAACCCTGCGACGTGAGACTCCACTGAAGTCAACTATAATCTAAACTATGCTTGAAATTTGAATTTACTCGCCTAACGAGATTGTGCGCTGAGTTTGCGACACGCCATCTGGAAAGCAGCTTTAGTGAAAAAACTTACAGCTCCTCGGATGGGATACACCTTTTTTGATGACTACCCCTGCAAACGAACTAAGGATCACGATTTGAATGCATGCACCGGGAATGTCCGGTCCCTTAATCGGGAAAGTGCCAAAGCCCAGTTGGTAGATGAACTCGCTAAACTAAAGGTTGACATCGCCCCGTACAAGAAATGCGATGGACGGGACAAACACGGAAGCCAATAGGTCCTTGGAGCATTTACTAAGGGAACGAAAATTTCGCGACGCATTCATGGTAGTAGAGGACTCCGTCGTCGAGCACTGGCAATCACCCCGGTGCCAAAGCGAAACTATTTAGCATATCGTTGACGGAAGAGAAGACCGATTTAGTCAAAAATAACTTATGAGCGCCCCGAAACGATGTGGAAACAGACCGCCATCGACCACAACACGTGTGGGATGGGATAGATATTGAGAGCTGAAGAGGGAAGCAAGACGCATTTGGAGACAAAAAACAAAAAAAGAGGCCGAAATGCGTGAGTATGAAGAGCGGCGGGGACCGATGGATTACCGGCCGAGCTGTTCAAATACGAATGAACCTAATCAGTGTGGCTTTAAATCTGCTAAATCAAACAGATATTCACCATATGCCAAATATTGTAAAAGAGCCGTGAAAAGACGATCGACACATACCATCTCTACGTCGACTTTAAAGCAGCCTTAGACAGTACGAAAAGGAACTACGCCAGTACGTCTGAATCAAGAAACAGCGGCTACACTGGCGAGGTGATGTGGTCCTGATAGATAAGAATACTCTGGCTTTGAAAGTATTCGATGCAGTATCCGCAGGCGGAAGCAGAGGAAGAGAAAGACCTTCACTCCGTTGGAAATACCAGGTAGAGATGGACCTGGCTGTACTTGGTATTTCCAATTGGCGAGAAACAGCAAAAAGAGGAAACGAATGGCGCAATGTTATATTAAATTCGGCTAAAATAGCGTAAGTGATGTCTACGCCAGTAAAGTAAGTAAATATGCTTTCAAGAAACTAGAAAATACATAAAGCTCAAACAGTTTATACTCTTATTTCAACAAATTACCGTTAGGATAAACAAATCCAGTGCAACCAAATATAAAAAATTAAATAAACTCTCGAAAGCCTCTGCATGCTTTCAATCAATAATTACGAATTTATTTTCTACTTTTTGATTTGTGACCTCTTTAACCGCATCCACGAGTGCCCAGCGATTTACCCGCTGGCAAGTTTGAGTTAAGCAAATAAACATGGAAATGCGAAATAAATTCCAAACTTGACAGCCTACAAATAAGTGCGGTTTCCTTAAGATTTTTTATACAAAAAAAAAAAAAAAAACAGTAACTTACGTCATTAATGCATACAAAGTTCGAACGTACATACATACATATGTGTATGTATGTATGTATATATGTATGTATGTACATAAATATAACTCACATAGCATGTTTATGAGTCTCACTGATTTTGAGCAAACGGGATATCAATATCTATATGTATATGCTCAAACAGCCACATCGATTTAACTGTACACAAAAAAATAAACCGCAATCATGACGATCGGCAATGCCAATGCCAGCTTAATTGAGCGGCGAAAAAAGTTGTCGGACTAGAATCAGCCGCACATAAATTAATTCGTCTTCGCGGTTTAAATTTAAGCCACTTTGGACGCTTTACGCAAAAAGTAATTTGTCTACAAATATATTGACATATTTTTTATTTATATGTATATATATATGCAAACATATGTACGTATTTCGGCCGATTCAATTTGTGCCAGTAGGACGATACGAGGGTAGGCGTAAAATTTTTATTATTGCAATATGTATAACTCCCACCAGCGACATTTCGCACTGTATTGATCACTTGTATGTAAAGGGTGCCCTTTTAGATATGTGAAATTTATGAATTTTTTTATTTACTGAATCTGCTTCAATTTCATTGGCTAGGAATGGGCTCCTGGCTCAATGTTGCTCCTTACAAGGGTAGTAAGTCTTGTGGTTTTGCGTCTTGATGTTTTTCCAACAAGTGGAGGGACCTACAAGTTTATATTAAGCCGCCTCCGAACGGCTGATGGTTTTTTTATGAGGAGTCTTTATTTCATGTCAGAAATACAATCAGAGGAGTTGACATTTTCCGCCGAGGGTCGACCACAATTAGAAAATTTAGCTTAATTTTTTTTTAATTTCATTTTCTATAATTTTTTTTTTTGATGTTAGTACGACACCAGGATTTGACCCACGTTGACTGTTTTGGCTTCGTAATAATGCTCAATAAACTTATTAAACGATTTTTCAAAAATTTTGAAAGGTAGGCGTCCGCAGCTCGAAAATTTCATACAAAATAAGGTGGGAAGATTTTTAAACTTCCTCAACTGTGAAGAGTTTAATTGCAAAATTCCGGGCGACAGGCTCCGTTGGAGATATCGAACACACTGGTCGCCCAAACACAAGTCATGTTCAAATAACAATATCAAAGCCGTGAGTGAGAGTGTCAGTGGCAATCCAAAAACCTCAATTCAGCGTCGTTAACAAAAATTGCAAATTTCAAGAAGCTCTCTACAACTTTCTGCTGCTAATACCCAAGGAATATGTGATTTCTCCATCAACCCTTTTCTGAGCATATTCTTAACCTCCTCTCCATGCGCGACTGTACGACGGTAGAGATCGATTAATACCTCAGTTTGATAGGTTCGACTCCTGCCATTATGCTCTTATCACCTAACTCGTGGCGGTACACTATTCTCACAAAACGGTTCTGGTTCCGGCCACCTCATTCTCGCTATGCCGGGGATAATATCCGTCTTGGTCCAAAAATCATTGCCCAGAATTATAACCTGAAGTGACCCCGGAACCACGAGGCATTCCAAGAGAACCGACTTGCCCTCCACCTCGATTGGCAATAAAACCTAAGCCTAACAGCGAGTTATGACCTTCTACTGCGAGAGTTACTCTCAAAAAAATTGAAGGCAAAGTCACCCTTATTCCATACAAACTCAATTTCTGTCAAACCTAATCTGCATATTACTGTTTTGGTCGCACCAGAATCCAGTAAAACCCTAAAAGCAAAACCTTGAATCCTCATATATATAAATAATATCCACCAGTCAACAACGAAAACGCCAACTTAACCTATTCAACCCCGAAAGTTTAAACGAAAGACTAAAAACTGAAAATTCCAATTTTGCGTTAGCTTTAAAACACCTTCCATAAAGTCTTTCCATTATGTTTTAAAAATGCTTTGAAAAAGTGTGTAAATTCCAGCCGAGACCACTTTTTATAGCAATTAGGGCTGTATGTTAAAAATAACGCGCTTCAAGCTTCTCAGCATACAAGCGACTCCTCGTCTTGCGACAAAAAATAGTCCAGCGGCATCAAATCGCACGAACTTG